AGTGTATTGTCAGGGAATTGCGATTGTGTCAACATTTAAGTGAATGTCCCTCCCATTGGAATTGGCATATGTGTGCCACCAAAATTGCTCTCATTCTCTATATAGATTTCCAAAAAAAAAAATCAAGACCTAATTTATGTGGGAGATCTAAGACATTAGTTAAGGTCTCATTATTGTTGATTGGCAACAACCTATACTTCCCCTAACATGCGAGTCTACATTTAAACTTTAGTTGCATTATTTCCTCATACATACCGACCTTGGGCACCATCATCGCCTCTAACTCGCCCAATGTTATCCCCCTGTGCACATTATACAGCCCCTGTGCTTCGGTGTCGTATGACTTACCTTCCTCGCGATTTTGCAAAATGTTTCCCTTCCAATAGAGCATAATGCACACAACTTCCATACCTAAACTTTGCATTCAAAGTAACTCAATTTATTCAAAATAATAAAGTACGTACATTTGGGAATCTGATTTTCATGGTTGAACTGTTAGTATATGTCATTTGATTGTAATGCCTGATAAAAAGTAAGAAAAGATATTTCATGTGACTGGTATATGTGGAACCTAATGTCAACATATCTGAAACCCACATTATCGTCATTTACATCTTAATCTCACAACGAAATTCAAGTATTATAAAATAATAACGCATTTCAAATGCAATCAGCACATCAAAAATTAAGGAGTTTTTACCTATTCTTTAGTTTGAAAGCTAATCGTGTATAACAAAAACAAAATTGTAAATTTTTTGGAAACACAGGATCTGTACATCTTTGACAGACGAAAGTGTGACTAAGAGGTAGATTTCTATTTTGTTGAACATTTAGTAGATCCTAGCTATAAAACAGATCTTAAAAATAAGAAAATTTGTATCTTTTCCAAACCCTAGTTTGAGAAATCCCTAATTTCGAAATTCAAAATGCCAAATTTGAAATTAAAACCGTAATTTTTGCAAAACAAACCTAAATGAGTTGCCATTTTCTGTCTTCGTCTTCTTTATTCTTGCTACAACTCTCGTGGTGGCCTTCATCTTCTTCGCCTCCACCGTAGTGCTTTTCGCACCTCTCTCTTTGTCGTTGTTTGATGAACTGCAGCATGTGTGTGTGTGTGTGTGTATGTATGTGTGTGTGTGTGTGTGTGTGTTGGACTGTTGGAGCAGAACAAAAACGAGGGTAGATGACTTGTAACCCCAAAAAAAAAAGACAATTGGTGAAAACAGTTTTCGTAAAGCCGTATTATAAAACGACTTTTCTAAAACCGTTTTATGTATTACAAATACTTTTGGCAAACAATATTTATGTTAAAAATATAATTTTTAAAAAAAATATTTACTAAAAAAAGGCTTTTACCAAAATTGTTTTTAATTAACTCATAATTAATTACAAGTTAAGTAAAAATAACTTTTCAAAAGCAGGTTTTGTGTAAGGAATTTTTTTTTTTTTTTTTTCATAAAACACAGCATTAGTAAAGTCGTTTTACCCTAGAATAGGAATAAAGAACAAAACCCACCCTAGAGTGGGAATAAAGTTGTGAGAATGGCATAGTAAGGGAAAAATGCCCTCTTCTCCCTCTACTCTATGTGAGACTATCTCTTCTCTCTCCTCTCTCCTCTTCAGTCGTCTACTGTACCACCGTCGATGGTAGTTCTTCGGTAGCGACGATGTTCCAAATAGCTCTGGCGACATCTCTCTTCTCATATCTCGATCTCAATCTTGATCTCTCTTCTCTCCTCAAATCTCTCTCTCTCTCTCTCTCTCTCTCTCTCTCTCTCTCCCTACGATCAGAGATGATTATGATAATGAATGTCGTTGATGGTGTCACTGCTGCTCTGATGCCATGATTTGTAGATCTCGATTTATTAGCAGCGGATAGGAGATCCTCTCAGGCAACATTAGAAGGTGGTAAAAATGATGATGATGATGATGATGAAGGAGAAGAGATTCATCTTGTGATCGTCAATCTCTGAAGAACACCTCTCAATAATATCTTTACCATTTTCAAATCTTCTTCATATTTCTTGGTTAATGATTTGATTTCTTTTTCTATGTTGATTAGATTTGGTGATGATATTATTCAGTGAACGCAATTCAAAAGTGTTATTGCCCGAGAGCAGCATGGGTCGCTGTTGCTGCCAACCCAATTATATCTCTCTCCATTTCCCTACTTGCTATCGTTAGGGCTGAGCAAGGAATCTGTGAAATTCATAATCCGATCCAGTCCAATTCAATCCAGTAGGTTTGGATTGGTTTTTTGAACCCGTGGTTTGGTTTCGGATTTAAAAATTAAAAATTCGTAGTCCATGAATCGGTTCTGGATTGGAACAGTTCCGAACCATATACAAATAGCCTATATTTATATTATACACCCTCTCGCATAATATCTTCTCTTATTCCATATAAAACTTAAACCCAAACCTAAACCTGCATAGTATCTTCTTTTATTGCTTTTGTTTGTTGGTTTTTAGTTTGAATTTGTAATGATCTAAATACTTGTGGTGGAACTAGTTTTCTTATAGTTGTTTAAATTCTAAAGCAGTGTGTCGCTATTATGAAAAGACATGTTGCTATTGTGGAGCTAATATAATGCTATGTTTATGTTTTTATGAAATTAAAATGTTTTATATATATATTTTTTTGTTATTTAATTATGTGAATCTGTGGTCCTAAACCGATCTAATTTGTGTTTAAATGGATTGGCTCAGATTGGTTCTATGATTTAAATGGGTTGGATTAGTTCCAATTTTTTGGGAACCGTAGATAACAGATTGGTTCTGGTTTTACCCCAATCCTGACCAATTCGGACCATGCTCATCCATAGTTATTGTCTGAGGAAATTCTCGTGGCTGAGGTCGTCATCAAATGTCGATGAGCTGCAAAACTCTGGTTTGGCTCTTAATGTGAGGAAAATAAAAACGAAACTTTTTTAGAGTGAATAATAAAATCGAAACTTCAGCGGACGAGATCAGCACTCGGAGAGCCCTCAAAGGGCTCAGATTCATCTGAGGAAATTCTCGTAATTGAGGTTATCATCAAACACCGATGAACCACTAGACTCTAGTTCGGTTCGCGATGCGAGGAAAATCAAAGTGAAACCTGATCGGACAAGATCGAGCTTAAAGAGCTCTCAAAAGGGCTCAGATTAATCAGCAACACTACCGGATAGTCCGGCGAGCTCAAGAACAAAGCGGAATCGCGATTCAAATTGTTTGCAGAAGACGATTTGTTCTATAATAGTGAATGCATTAGTACTAATTAAAGCTTCTATTACTAATCAATGTTATTTTCCAATAGCGATAAACACACTAATTGAATGCTTAATTTTGCATGATTTTTGAATGATCTTGACGTTGTTGTTTTGAATTGTATTGTGTTTGATAGTAATGGTTGATTTGAAAAAGTTTCTTGTGGGGATATTCAATTGTCAGAGGAATAATGGTATGTTCTAGGAATTTGAACTGAAAAGTATCAAAGACTAATTGATCAATGATCGATCAAACAATATTAAGAAGACCGTCTCTGTGTGATTCTCTTATCTTAATTTGTTTTCTGTTGAACTGATAAGATTTGATCTTGATCTGTTGATCTATTATATGTGTGATTCTCACCGCTCTCTTCTTGTTTTTTTATTGTTTTATTTGGTTTTGCAATTATTGTAATTGATATATAAAATACAAGGGGCAAAAATTCGACATGTTGTTTTGTTTGGGTAAAATTTGGACAGATTGCTTTGTTTGCTATCTGCTGAATTGATAAAAAAAAAAAAAAATTAGACAAATAGAAGATTTACATATATAAAAGTTAGATAGATAGAATATTTACATTGATAAATTTTGGATAGATAGAAGATTTGAACAGATAAAATTTTAACAGATAAAAAATTTGAACAGAAAAATTAGAATTGATATAAAATTTACATAGAAAAAATGAATAGATAAACAACAAAATTTGAATATAAATTTAAACACATAGTCAACGAAAAGTCAAACATATAAAAAAAATCGAGGGGTAAAATTAAAAATAAAATGTTATCTAGAATTTCTTACCAAATTATTTTACAAAGTATAGGGCTTTGTTTGGAACGATTTTCAAACGAGTTTTCTACTCCCATATTTGAATATGATGTTTGGATAGGGTTATGGAGTTAATTTTTTACAACTTTGCAAACAATTCTGTTTGAGAGCGCGATTTTCAATTTTTTTTTTCGAAATTTGGCCTAACCGGTTGACTGGAACAGTGCAAACTTTTTTTTCTTTTTTTTTTTTGCAATTGATATGTTAATTTTTATATATTCGAAAAAAATATTTTTCGAATTTTTTAAAATTTTTTATGTACTTTAATAGAATTTTAAATTGTATGTTTGGTTATGAGTTGTGAATTTTTATATCAAATATTAAATGTTACATCAAAAATTTCTTACTTAATTTTAAAAAAATTTAAAATTATTTTCAAAACTCTTTCACCAATAAACAAAACCGACTGAACATAATACATTAGATAATTATTAAAGTGAATTTTTCACGAATTTCCACTTTTGAAATTTTTTTTATCGATAAATTTGATTTTTTTTTTTTTTGAAAAAAAAGGCCAGGTGACTGACTAGTATGGAACTTTCTTTCAAACTAACTAGGGTTCTCTTTAATCTCATACTCGACTCTCTTGCCGATAACAGATCATCTGTTTTTGTTGAACTTCAGTTTCTTGAAATCAAATCATGAAGCACCTCTGTAAGGAACTCTCCGAAGATTGCTGGGAATTGATTCTGAATCAATTAGCAATCGATGACTTCAACCACTTGCAATCCCCTTCTTTGGTCTGCAAGCTATTCCTATCCATCACCGACCGACTTCGACTCAAATTGAATGTCCCCAATAGATTATTCTACAGCCATAACTGTGAGGGTTTGTTCAGAGCTCTTCAACGATTCACTAACCTCCAAGAGATTGAGCTTCGTGATCCCATCTTCGGTGATAAAGTTGATGTCAACTACGCCTTTCGAAGAATCGCTTCTTCAGGGTTGGATCTTCAATCCCTCTGTCTCCGTTCTTTACAAAAAACCCCATTCCCCAAAACTTTTATGAAATTGGGCTCAACCATGAACAACTTGAAGATTCTAAGGTGTTGTTGCATCAAGGGTTTCCGAAATCACCACCTTGTTTCTATAGTCGATGCTTTACCCTGGCTTGAAGAGCTCGATATCTAGTTTTCCGGCTATTTTTGGAACCGTGGGTGGAATTCAAAGCCTAGAAGAGGCGCAAAGCACATGGCAACTGATGCTGGGATCGAGGTAATGTCTTGTAAGCTTCGAGGGTTGTGTAAAATAGATATAGCAGGGCAGGTTGGTTGTTTTGATCGATCTCTCATTACTTTGTCTTCAAATTGTGAGCTTTTGCATGAAATTCGATGTGGTTTGTGCGAAGTAACTGAACATGGCATTTGTTTTGTACTACGGAATAGTCGAAACTTGATTTCTCTCGATGCTGGACCGTATTACACAGTACAAGATGATTTGTTTATTTTTGAGAATTCCATGATTTATGCAACATCTTTACGCAGTCTTGTGTTAGAAGCAAAAGAAGATCATGACCGACTTCTGTCTTCCATTTCAACATCGGGCATTCAATTAGAAAAGATTTTGATCTACGATGATTCTGGTTTGAGCTTCCATGGACTCTCGAATTTCTTATGTGGATGCCCATCTTTGACACACTTGACACTTTGTTTCAATAATTTCCTCACTGACAATTACGTGAGGGATTTATGCCGGTATCTTTCTAATCTTGTGTCCATAAAATTTAATCGGTGCTCAAACATAACCACTGCAACATTCTTCATCCTTGCAAAAGAATGTCCTATGCTTTTGGAAATTGGACTGCCTAATATAAAGCCACAAGTTGAAGATGATTTTAACTTGGAGTTTAAGGGGAATTATCGAATTAGATCATTGGATTTGACTTGTTCTGTGTATCTGAATGATGAATTCATAAAAAAAGTAGGGGCAGTTTGCCCTAATTTACAGACTCTAAATCTTAATGGACTTCTTAGTTTGACAACAGAGGGCATTGGGGAAATTTTGAGGTGCTGCTCTCAGATTAAGCATTTGATAGTGGATAGAACTAGAGGCATAGTGATCTTTTTGGAACAATTCAAAACTCGCCGCATTAAAATTGGACATGGTTATAACCTAGAGGGCCTCTATGACTGATATGAGGTATCTTTGGCACTTACATTCCGTATGTAAAGAAAGAAAGAATGTGCTAGGGCTGATTGCACTTGTGAATTGCAGAGAAAGAAGAAGAAGAATTGTAAGTGCTATTTGTTTTGCATTTTGTTGCTCCATCATCACAATAAGACAATAAGACATAGAAGGGCGGGCCTAGCGTAGCAGTAAAGCTACTCCTTGGTGACCTGGTAGTCGCGGGTTTGAATCGCGAAAACAGACTCTCCGTTTGTGGGGGTAAGGCTGCGCATCAACCCTTCCTTAGGCCCAGCTTAAGCGGGAGTTTCATACACTGGGTACGCCTTTTTTTATCATCACAATAAGACATGCAAGTTGGCTGCTTTCTAGGGCTTCTCATGTCATGGGCTTCTCATGTCATGTTGTTTGCATCCATTTGAGTTTTGATCAGGTGCAATTGTTTGTTGAGGTTGTTTTATTGAAAAGCATTTAGCTACATAACTTGCGTTTGATGTCTTATTCATTGATGCCTGATTGGCTAGTCATAAATCTTAGGTACTTGTACTTAGAGCTAGCAAAGTTAATCCGAATCCATGAATGCGCAATTAAACCTATTTAAACCCACCCAAATCTCTAATTTGTTTTAATCGGGTTGGACATGACTGCCCATTGGGTCTTGCTTAAGGCTGAGGTACATGCAACTCCTAGGGACACGAAACAAAGATCAATCGCGTAAAACAACATTTTACAAACTGCAGTCGTTGATGCAACTTTTCTGTATAATAATAATGTGTATGTATATTACTGTGTACCTCAAAATTTATGCTATACTTCAATTGGTTTTTGTCACGACTCGAACCCGCCCCCATGGGTTAAGGACGTAACCGGCCAGTAATCATGAGATTACCTACGGCCTCAAACCAAACCAAACATATTTTAACAGAGTTAGTGGGGGCCAAACGGAAGCAATTTAAAACTTTGTCCATAGAGCTATGCTTACATGGCACATCATAAAAATCATACATATACATATTAATAACTCACATCAAAATATGTACTAACACAACCTCTGTACATACAGGATCATTCGAACCTAAGTCAGCCAAGCAAAACTATATACAGACGTAAACCAAAGTCCTCGCCAACATGAAAAAATGACACAAGATAGCAAAAGGCCGAAGACGTGTCTCGTTCGTGGGACGCGAGGGCTGACTCTTCAAAACCTTGGTTGTTCCACACAAACTTCACTGAGGCTGGGTTTGGACCTCTCTTGGCTCACTTACAAACACGTGAATGAGCGTGAGCGATAGCCTAGTGAATAATATCAAACAAAGAAGTCATACAAACGATATGTAGAACAACATACTCCAAACGACCTTGGGCCCAATTCATACTTATATTTAACATATATATATATACACAATTTAAGTCAAGTGACCGTGGTTCGTATCAGGCTGGCCTTCGGCCCATTTATACTTTCATTTATGTCAGAACGGCCTCTGGCCCATCCATTCGTGTCAAAACGGCCTCTGGCCCATTCATTCATGTCAAAACAACCTTCGGTCCTTTCGTTTATGATAAAACGACCTTCTGTCCATTCATATATCTTAAAGCGACCTTCGGTCCATTCATTTATCTCAAAACGACCTTCGGTCCATTCGTTCATGTCAAAACGACCTTCAGTCCATTCATTTATCTCAAAACGACCTTCAGTCCATTCATGTATCTCAAAACAACCTTCGGTCCATTCATTTATCTCAAAACGACCTTCGGTCCGTTCGTTCGTGTCAAAACGACCTTCGGTCCATTCGTTTATGTCAAAACGGCCTTTGGCCCATTCACACTTTTGTGTCAAACTGGCCTTTGGCCCAATCATTCATATCGAAACGGCCTCTGGCCCATTCATTCATGCTTGTCAAAATAGCCTCTGGCCCATTCATTATTTCTTGTCAAAACGGCCTCTGGCCCATTGCAAACTTTCATATCAGACATTTTCCACCATTCAAATTAATGAACTTACAGACTTACATAGAGGTAAGCAATAGTACAACATATTCAAACATCTTTTGTTAAGATATTACTCACAGTGATCGGCTTGTGGATTTGACCTGGAGCTTGACCCTACACATCACATAACATATATGGGTCACAAATAACTCAATCCGTTCTTTGATTCACACATTTCTCTTTAGGCTTCATTCTTATCTCTTTAATTCAATTACAATGCTCAAAGTATGCCTAACAGTGCTTAGAAGTGAAAGGGAACGGAAATCAGAACACAAAATGCATTTTCAGAATTTCAGAAAACAGGGTCTCCGCTCGAGCGTGGACTTCCCGACTCGAGCGGACCCTTAGGGTCTGCAAAAGTACTGGTTACATCAAATCCCCGCTCGAGCGTGAACTCGGCCGCTCGAGCGGAAGGCCCATCTACATAGCTCCTCGCTCGAGCGCCAATTTCCCTGCTCGAGCAGACACCATGTCTGCAAAAAGTGCTAGGAGCACGTATTTCCCGCTCGAGCGGTAGTTCCCCCCCCCCCCCCCGAGCGGACACCAAAATTCTGGGTTTTCCAGAATGAGTTCTTGAGCTCCAAATCGACTTTCAACCAATTTTTCTTGCATACAATGGCTCCAATCTCACATATATTTGTACTAACACTAGAATACGTCAACATGGAGCTTAATCTCATGAATCAAAGACATGCATGGCTCATTTTCCACCAAACTCATTACCAACATAACAATGTCATGCATTCAACCTTATAATTTGTACATGCATGAGATGATTCTCAACTTAGATAATACAATTGGTGATTACATCATGAGCTTTAACCAAAACTCTACATGAATCATGTATTTCAAGCTCAAACATGCAAATTTAAGAAAATTTCTTTCATGCATGCACAATTTAGCCTGCAATTCAACAAAACCAATTCAATTTCATCATACTCAATTAAATTCATGTTCTTTATTCTTATTCAGCTCTGAATTTACAAATAGCAAACAAAAACCCATGATTCAAGGGTTAATTACTCACCTAGGAGCCTTAAACACTCAAGTTCTAACCAAATCTTGAGCTTAATCTTCAAATTCCCAAGCTTGAGCCAAAAATCACACAATTCTCTCATTCTCTCTCTCTCTACAGCCGGTTCTCTCTATTTTGAGTCCCAAATTCAGCCAAAATGAAGTGAAAAAGAGAGGATAAAGAGTGTAGTGACCTCACAATAAAACCCACTCAGGCTAATAAAATATTAATAAGATAATTGGGATCTAATTCACCGATTTAATTGATTTAATCTGACCCGAATCAATTTTCAATTAAATTTCATCATAGGTTCCAAAAATTATGCCAATCCCAATGGCGTAATCAATTTTGGGTTCTGTGGCCGATAAGGCCTCCAATTAAATTTCTAAAGCAGATAACTCAAACAGATATTCCTACGGTGAACAGATAGAAATCCAAGACCACATAATGGCACACAAAATCATATTAAACACATAATCATACTCATATTAAGGACCAATTAACATATTACGGAACAACGGTATTATAGTCTTCCCCCGCTTTAGGAAGTTTGGTCCTCCAAACTTAATTTACCTTTAGCCAAAAACACTTTGGAATACCTTCTTATTCAATGGTTCCAATCCGTTTGATAGTTATCTACTTAGTTTCAAAATCAAGCAACACTCTGTTCTCAATCAGTCAAAGACTCAACTTTTTCTCCATACAAGACTTGTATGGTGTCACACCAAAACTAGAGTGTAGGCTATAGTTGTAAGCAAAGTCTGCCAACAATGGATAGATCTCCCAAACTCTCCGAAAAATCTACTGCACGTATTTGGAGCATTTCTCCCAAAAGTTCTTTCAAGTTACATTTCGATTTTCAGATGGAAAGCAACGCCGAATCACAATTCAGTTCCCATTGCCTCTTGAAGGCTTGTCAAAATTTAGACACATTTTAGGGTTCCTGTCTAAACAGTAGACACTAGGATCCCATGCAAATGAGCAATCTTATTGACGTACACAGTTGTCAGTCTATAAGCATCATACAAAAATTTCACAGGGAGGAAATGAGCAAACTTAGTAATTCTGTACACAATAACCCAAACGG